GGTTCAAATCCCAGATTCAACCATGACACTCGCTAGGTGACCTTGGGCCAGTCACTGTCTCTCAGCCTGACCAACCTCACAGGGTTGTTGTGGGGATAAAATGGAGGAGAGGGAGAGACATGTACACCACCTTGAGTTTCTTGGAGGAAAGTGGGGGGGGATAGAAATGTAATAAATAACATAACACAAGCAAGCAAGCACAACATGCCTGATTGGTAACCATCTGGGTTCTGCTTTAAAACCTCTTACAAAGGAGGGGAGCCTCTCCCACCTGCTGAGCACTTTGTTTCACTTTCTCATGCAAATGGTACATTTCTTGGTAAATTCCAAGCCCTGTTGCCTCCCACTGCACCTCTGTTTACCTGTGAGTAAGCCCTGTTGAACTCAGTGGCATTTACTTGTGAGCAAATGTGTACGGGATTCCTCTGTAACTCTAACAAAGGGCTGTGCTCACTGGGACAGGGCATACTCTGACATTTCCAGTAGGGCAGAGATGGGGAGTTATAGTACAGTAGCTCAGTCAGTAGAGCATGAGACTCTTAATCTCAGGGCTGTGGGTTCAAGCCCCACGTTGCACAAAAGATTCCTGCATCGCATGGGGGTTGGAATAGATGACCCTCGTGGTCCCTTGCAATGGTACATCTGGCCCTCCTGGTGCTGCTGGACTCAAGCTCCCATCATGCCTGACCACTGGCCATGATGGCTAGGGCTGATGGGAGTTGGAGTCCAGCAATACCTGGAGCACCACAGCTTCCTAGACCTCCTCCTGAAACTCTGGAGAGCCACTGCCAGTCTATATAGGCAATTTTGAGCTGGATGGACCAGTGGTGGAGTCCATATGAAGCAGATTGCTAAATTCCATATCCTAAGTAGTACTGAGGTTATTTCTGAAGTCCAGGCACTCTCCATGACTATCCCCATAGCCACACCCCTTCTAAGACCATGCAATCAGTGCAGACATCAGTACCAAAACATTTTTTGCTCCAACCCTTATGCTTCTGTCTTTGCTTAACATCCAGTTTGATTATGAAGAACTCAAAAGGACTCAGAAGGACTTATGAAGGACTCAGAAGCTTGTGCCTTGCTTTGTGAAATTCCCATTGGTCGTAATAAATGGACTTTGAAATTTGAAGCTGTGAAACTCCCTCCCCAGAAAGGTGCATCTAGCACCTTCATTGTACTGCATTTGGCAAATGCTGAAGACTCACCTGACACTGGAGACACGTATTTTTCAGGCCCACCTTATTTCTGTAATTTTAAGTTGTTTTCTACTTCCCCCTCCCAATACTGTTTCAATTGTTGTAACTGTCCCTGGGACCTTAGAGTGAAGGGCAGATGACAAATTGTAATAAATGCTGGTAACAATAATTACTATTTATTTTTATTATTCAAAACAAAGTGGCAGCCTTAGCTATCCATGAGAATGCTTCTTACCTCTTCCTCTGCTTATCTTATGTGGTGTGCTTGTCTCTGAGAAAAGCTTCTTTATTTGGCAAGCAGAGGATTGGGCCAATAGCACCCTGGGGAGGTGACGTTATCATCACTGCTGTGACGTAAGCGACGGCCCTACGTTCCTGCCGGTCCCTGCTCCACAAGGTAAGGTAAAATGGGGGGGGGTGTAGAGACACCCAAAGATTCCACCGGACCCGCCTGACCATTCGACTCACCTTCATACCTGCAAATTCCCAAGCAACAGAACCTTCCCGCGCGCCTACAGTTGGAAGCCAGTTCGATTTTACATCAGCGGGGCTTGTTCCCATCTAAACATCTTTTAAGACCTCTCTCCATCTCTCTGAAGGCTAACATGCTGCTAAGCCCGTGCGCTCTTCTTGTCAGGAAGGTGGCCGTCGGGTGCACGCGTATGAACTCCCGAGCAAACGCACCGGGACTTACTCTGAGTAGGCGCACGTGCCTAGGAAATGGACAGCCAGGGCCTGAAATTTTGAGAGCCTCTTATATTCGAAATACTGCGCACACCACGCGGGAGGCGGGGGGTTTTTATGGATAGCCAAACCGCGAAGGGTGCTGTGCTTCTCCTAAGCAGAGCGCGCGCATCAATTTCTCTGCCGACTAGTCAGTTTCGTATCTCTCTCCCCAACCCCCCAATCCTCTGGGTTATGTGGGGTTTTTTGTTTTGTTCTTTAGCCTTTTACTTTCTGTTTGCTTCTGAGCCCCGTAACAGCGACTAGGTTGGTCAGTTTCACGCTCTCGCCTTTGGAGAAGCGTAGAGGAGACGTCGCTCCGTCCGATCCTTGCAGCAGAGTTTCCAGCAATAATGTCACGAGCCCCTCCTGGCTGGGACTGCCGCTGCCTCCCCGCCAGCAGCAGGGACGTCGCAAGGGCCCATGAAGCAGCCGGTAGCCCTGCTAGGCGACCCGACATTCCGAGTTTCCCCGCGTTGCTGGCGAGGCCCTATAAATAACCGCGCGTAAATTGACCAGCGGTGCGGGCGGGAAACCGACTTGGTCCTTAGTCGGAAAGGATGAGATCATAGAATTGTAGAGTTGGAAGGGGTCCCGGGGGGTCCCCCTGATGACTTTGGTGTGTCTGCGCGCGGGGGACAGCTTCAATGAAAGGGGAAAGCGAACGAAGCGGATTGAGGGGACAGCGCGTCCGGCTCCCGCGGGGAACTATCCAACCGAGCTGAAACGGTCCCACTGAGCACGGTGAGGCTGGGTTCCCGGTTAAATAACCATAGGATCGCCCAGTGAGCATCCTAGGTAAGAAGTTAGTTTCGCTCACTTCAATGGCACGTTCTCCCAAGAAAGCGTGCATAGGATCGCAGTGTTAGCTGATCAGTTTGGTACAGTTAACCTTGTGAGTGAGCATTTTTTAAAAAAAAACCAAAAACCTTTCCGCAGACTCTTTTCCCGCAAAAACAAAACAAAACCCTGGGGCTAGAACGGTGGGCATGGAGGCCTCTTCTAAGACGGTACCTGCCTGGCACTTTCAAGTATATCATCATCAAATATATTTTTCCCTTCCCTTTTAAAAAAAATGATTTTTAAAATTTCTCTGCAAACACATGCTAAATGAAAGAATTCGTTTTAAACCTATCCCCAATGATCAAATTAGGGTTCTCTTCACTGTTAGGCCTTCTATTGTAATGGATAAGCGTTACTTATTAAAGTGCATTAATTTCAGTGAGTCTACTCAAAGGTTTAAAGTAGGGAGACAACAGCCCTGCAAGAGGAGCATTGAAAAGGAACCGGTTCCCGAAAATGGTCTCGTGAAAATCCTGGGGGTTAAAAATAAAATAAAATAATCTCCTCCGACCTCCGCGATTCCCCACCAAGACAAAGACCACGCAGCCAGGTGTCTCCCTCCTCTTCTCCCGCCACCATTCGCCTTTCCCCAGCGATCTCCGGTCTTTCCTTTCCTTTCAAGACAGCAGCACAGCTAGCTGCCACTGCAGTGCCCTTCTCCACGACACACACACACACACGCACCCCTTGCATCTCTCCTGGACTGGAGCCGGTCATTACTTAATAGCCCTCAGATTTAAATCACCCTGCCCGAAGGCTTGCCGCATGATCTTAAGACAAAAGAACTTCCTCTTCTCCATCTGAGCCTACTGGCCGACCTTGCAAGGTCCTTCTGAAGACAGGCATGGGGAACCTGCTGCCCATCAGATGTTGTTAGGACTCCCATCACCGCTGTCCACAGATGTGCTTGCTGGGGTTGATGGGAGTTGGAGTCCAAAAAACATCTGGAGGGTCAGGGATTCACCAGCACCCTGTGGTCTGGAGGGAGGGCTTGAACACACACACATCCCAAAAGAATAATGTATACAGTATTGAATATAATCACATGATTAGCATGATCAGATTTTTTTTTAAAAAAAAATTGCACTAAGCCAGTGGGAAGTTGTATGAGCAAGAAAAGACACTGACACAGACACAAAGACTATATTTTCTTAAACTGGCCCTCCTAATCCCTCCATGCACCCAGTTCCAATTTTCCTAATTGTCAAACACACTGGCATTTCTCTCCTGGCAGAGAAGCACATACAAGCAAATGCTTGGGGCAGGGAGATTTGGAAAATAGGGGTTCAGGATGTATTTGGGGGGATTTGCTCTGCAACCACCCTGAATCAGTCACCCCTTCCTACGTCACCCTGCTGTCTGTCTGAAACAGGGAATGCTCAATGGACTTTTCACCATCAAACCTAGGACTTGTGAAGTCTTGAAAGCATTTCACATACACGCCCTCAGTCATCCTGAAAAGATGTTTCTGTCATAATAAAATCAAGTGTTTACGGTGCCACAAAATGTTGCTGTCTCCCTATCCTACAGAGCAGGTTAGTATTGCTTACGTTTTATAGTGCAGGTGGGAATCTGAAGCAAAGGAATTTGCCTAAGAGCACCTGAGTGGTTTTGTGGCAGGCAGAGGCATAATTTGAAACTGGGACTTCTTGCGTTGCTGGAGCCCAACCAACTCCCTATAGCAGCTCTCATGTGAACCCTTACCCTCTCCGTCTCCCTGGCCTGGTGGAAATTGACCTGCTCCCCTTTCAGGCTGCAGTTCCACTTCTCAACTGCATCAAAGGATTCCCTGATAGCTTTCAACCTGTGTGCCCAATGAACAAAACTCACCTTCCTCTTTTGTTCCCATCCCATTTTCCCACAGGCTTTTCAAAAGACTGGCATCTCTGTTTGCTGTATGGAACTATTAACAAGGACACATCCACACATCACCCTCCATCGAGCATAAAATAAAGCATTGCTTATTAAGCCAGAATTAACTGCCCCCCTAGGAGCTAATTAAATTCCTTCTTGGAACCCAGGTTTGGGGAAGGAGGGGGGGGAGCCATTACATTTTAACTCTGTGGCAGCCGGTCTCCACATTATGGCTCCAAATTGAGAAATTGGCTGTTTATATCCAGCTATTGTTTTGATTTATAGATGTCTAGTTAACCTCCAAGTCCGACCTGTGTTATTATTTTTTGTGAACAAGAGTCGGGAGCAGGAGGGCTCTCTACACCCCAATAAATCCATTTGTTTATTCCACTGGTTTTATTTCACATTATGTTTTGATTACAATCAAAAGTATTTTACTTTACCTTGATAATAAAAGTAGTAGTTCTCTTTAGAGTGCTGCAAAATTATAGCATTTACATTTCTGAAAGACTGTAAACAAAATATTACTAGCAAATAATAATACTAGCATTTTAGGTATACCTTGTAAGGGGGTTTCTTTCCTCTCTTCCTTTGAAAGCAAGACAGCTTTATAAAACGTAATTTGATTGAGAGAATGTAATACATAACAATGGTAAAGAGAACAGAGGGGAGAATTTTGTGGGCATTTTCTTGGCGACTGTTCAGGGTGGGGGCTCTCCTCCTCTTCCTCCTACCTTGAGGAACTTGTGCCAATAGAGCAGTATTGTTAAACTGAGAGAGTAGTTACTGAAATTGACACATGAGTCCCAACTTTTAAAAACGGCACATGAAACTATGAGGAAGAACAAGGACTCAAACACTGCTAAAAGGGGCTATTTGCACTCTTTGTTTCTGAAGACTGTGCTTTTGTTTTCTCCTGTTTCATATTCAGAATCAGAACAGACAAGTGGAAATGGCAACAAATGGGTGCGATTGCATATTTCTGCCCCCTCCCCCTTTCATTTTTTTGTTGGTATATCTCTCTTCCTCCTACATCTGGTTAAGATTGTGTTAACTACACCAAGTTGCTCTGTTTCTCATCTAAGGAAAATTAAATTAAATTAAAAACCCCATTTAAACCTTTTAAAAAAACAAAACCTAAAGCCTAAATTAAATTATGTCAATATTCACACTTCTTTTCTGGTTTTTATCTTACAGATTAATTAGTAAAAGTTCAATATACTTTCCGGCATGTAGTTGGGCCACAAATTTACAAGAGCGAAAAACAAGCATCAAAACATCGAGCAGCCTGAAAATTCCACAATCACTCAGAATTACATAGAAATAGTGAAAATCAGGATTTGGCTAGAATAAGTTTGTGTTGATAGTCCTACCCTCCCCAGATTTCCTTACTAGTAGCATCACAGCAGGGTTTGCATTGCACCTCTCAACCATGGCACCCATGTATTCAAAAATACTTTTTTTTAAACTCAGGGAAAGAGTAAAAAATAGAGATATATAATGTTAAAAACAAACCCAAATTGGCTGTAAAAAGGATGTGTGAAGTAGGTACCATGTAGGAGCTTGCGGGGGCAGTGGGTGGGGTACAATGGTAGCTAATAATATCAGTTAAATTGAGATGTAACATAATTTGGTTTGCAAAATGGGAGAGAGAAAAGAGAAATAATTATTGACGGAGGATGAATTCAAGCGTCTTCTGTTGTCCGGCTGCGCCATTACAGAGATCTTCAGAGCAATGCACACAAACCTAAGTTAAGGGTTTAACTTCTGCAGTTATGTCGATAGTATCCAGAAGCTTTTTGCTGTCCGAGATTCCTTCTATCCAGCTACAAATTCAGGGATTGGTAAGCAGTGCTGAAAGACTTGCTCCTTCCTCCCTTCCTCAGCCAGTCGGCAAGTTGTTTAAAGAGGGAATACTAGAAATCCAGAGAAGGTTGAATATTTCCAACCCCCCATTAAGTTTCCTCTCTCCAGTTTCAAATAAGCTCTGTCTCCTTTCTCCATCTGGATCAGGACCCCGTTGCTGGCGGCTTCGCGGGTGACATCCTGGTCCCCGGCAAAGGCGGAAATCACTGGCCACCCATTCAGCATCAGGCTCACCTGAAAAGCAAGTGAAAGACAAAGTCCCCATCAATGAAAGGAAGAGGAGGCAGCAGGCAAATTCACAGAAATGGCTGGCAGGGGTTTTTTTTCCAATTGGAAGCAGTTGGTGAAATGAATTTCCCCTCCCTCCATTAATTGTTTATTAGAATTTCTTTCTTTCTTTCACAGGGTTGCAACAAGTGAACATCAGCAGCCCAATCCCATGCAGGTTTACTCAGAGGTGTCCCACTGTGTTCAGTAGGGCTTACTCCCAAAAATGTGCATCAGATTCCAGCCTGAGGCTGCAAAATCTTAGGCATTCAATGGGACGGGAGCTCAATGGGACTTCCTTCTGAGTAGGCATTGCACAAGATTGCAGAGGAAGGGGGGGGTAATTAGCCAGAATGTTTCCGATAGCATCCCAGACTATATTGTCATGACAAGCATAGAAGGAAACCTTGCTTCTTCAATGCATGAGGAAATCTTATAGGATAAGCCATGTATATCAGCCAAAGACACAAAGGAAAATGGGTGGGTAAATGAAAAGGCTGCAGATCTATGGGCTGGCGGCTGGGTGTTATGATGTCACTCTCCCAAACTTTCTAGGAATGACCTCCAGATAGCATCGTTCCATTTCCTTCTCTCTCTTTTTTATAGAAAAGGAAAGGTACCGTCCGTTCTGCTGCCAGATCAGATTAATTGTGCTCCTCCAGATTCAGCAGTAGAGAGTGCTTTTGCTTTTCACCACTGCTGTAATTATCCTCGCAACCCCCTCCTTCAAACATTTTTAGAAATATTACTATATTTAAATGTAAATGCTGCTTGCCTACCCACCCTGGAGAGACCTCAAAGCGCTGTGTGAACAAATAAATATATTACAGCACAATCACATTTTTTTCTAAAAAAATATAAATGTAGATCTGATTATCTAAGGGCAAGTTGCCTGTGAGGAAAATTGGGGCGCTTATGGGGCATGGCTCAAAATCTAGGGTGAAACTCTTTCAGATGGATGCTTCTCTCTCTCCCCACACCTCTCAAGAGGGGCTGCTTGTCCTTCAGGAAAACTGGACACACACTCCGCCCTCCCCCCAAAACCTCAGAGACTGAAGAAAGAGATAAAGGCATTCAAGCTCTGGCTAGCATCTCTGAAGTTCATCAAGGGGGGCAGCTTATCCATTTGTGAAGCAGCAAAGATGCTGAATCCCTGACAGAGCCAATCTGCATCCTACAGAGCGGGAGCCTTCTGCCTGCCTAAGCAAGGGAGATAGTGGGTTTTATCCAGCTCCTTCAGATACAACCACAGCAAACAACACAGCCACCAGTAATTAGAGATGGACATAAAAGCATAGATCGATCAGCTGTCCATCTTGGCATTGTGACAGTGACTGATGGCTTTTGAAGCTGATTTAAGAGTGGATCTAAATTTATACAGAATAAAGCTTGGCTCAAATTATGATGGAGGGGGCCCCCTCCCCCCCAACTCTCCTAATTTTTTGTCCAGGCCATAATTCACCACCACCACCCTACGCCTCTTCAGCCGCCTAAAAACAGTAACTGAGAGGTCATCACAAAAGGAAAGTGGGGCAGCCCACCTTCATTCCTCCTTAAATAGAGCAGTCCTAGCCGTAGATGTAGAAATCAGCTAGCCACAAAGACTCAGTTAGGGCTTTCTAAAGCAGAAATTGTAGATCTAATGAAAAAAAAATGTATTTGCACACTTTTACATATACACGGACTCACCTACTCTTACCAGAATAAACCTACTGGAATTAATGGACCCAAGCGGGTAACTACACAAAATACGATGAGTAGCTTATGTTTTCTGTACGGCACACATATTTTTGGCTAAATGTGTTGGCCTAAAATCCACTGAACTCAGAAAGGGCTAGGGAAAAACTGCAAAGGATCACCCAAGTCATTCAAAAATAGATTCAGGCATAGATCTTGACCTATAGCTAGAAACATGGACAAATACAGTCTAAAAAATAATAACAGAAATGTATTTGTGATAAACGGTTTAGGAGTCCAATCTGATCAATGCACAGTATGCAGGCTGTTGGATACCATATCCCATTTTACTCCACACCAATAAGAGCCTGTGGACAGGCAATGCCCTTGTTCAGATGACTCATTCAGACCAATCCCCATGATGTTATGAAAGTGGGAGCAGTGTAATATTGGGGAAACATGCAACCAGATAACTCAGTCATGTTGGCCCATGGGAGGGGAGATTCCTTGTTCCATCAACCTTCATTCAGCTAATAAACCCCCAAACGGATCTGCTGAGACTTCTGAAAGGTCTAAAATGCCCAGCCCATCAGCAGAAAGGCCAATCCCACCCCCCACCTGATAAGGTACTTCTAGGATAAATAAGATAGAGGCGACTCCCAAGCCATTGGAGAAAGACGGTTTCAATTTCAGCCCTGTGAGCAAGTCCCCATCCTAAATTACTACAGTGAGACTGACAGGTTGTAAAGTAAGGATTATGACATATAAAACTTTATGTAGCATGTGGGCAGCGGTTAGTATTGGGGGAAGAAGCAGGAATGTGGATTTTTGAAGTACAAGTGGAAGGGAAAAAATCACCCAAGTCACACAACATGACACTTTAAAGAGGGTATTAAACTGAGCAAGGTAGAAAACCATTCTTTATATCTCTATCTAGAAAATTAAATAAGTTGGTCTTCAGAAGTAGTTTTGTTTACTGAACTTGCTTTTATCCCCAACCTCCTTTTTATTATTAGAATTTGGCCCCCTCCACTGAATGTGACTTAGATTTTTGCAGGGTTAATAATTTTTCATGTTTAGTCTAAATTCAGACGTACAGATTTTCCATATTTTTAAGCCTAATCCTTAAAACAGTCAGACAGTCACAGACCACAAAGGGAGTGGGAGGCAAGGGGCGGGGAGAGAGCATAATATTAGATCAAAAGAAAGCTATTGGTGTGGGGTGGTAGGGATGATCATCCTGCACAAGTTTGTATGGGATGCAGATTCAAATCCCTTCTTAGCCATGAAGCATCCTGGGTGACCTTGGGCCAGCAAACCAACCTTGCAGGGTTGCTGTGATAATATTAACAGTGAGGTGGTGGTGGAAGAACCAGGTACACTGCCTTCAGCTGCTGGGAGGAAAGATGGGGCAGAAAATGGAAGGGGGAAAAACCCCAAACTGTTTTTGAAATGCACTCTTTAAAGCAATCTGATCAATAGGCACATTATGTGGAATCAAGCCTGCTTTTATTCCATGGGGTCCATTTCCAAGTAAACGTGCTCTGGGTTGCATCCTTGGTTGGTAGCATCAATGCCATGAATGGGGAGATGGGAAAACATTCTGATTTGCTCACTTTGATTGTGGCATTCCGGATTTTGTTTGGAAGCCTGGGCCCTGATTATGAAGGGCATTGATGCTCAATGAGATTTTTGTATGGCCGATTACATAGAATCGTATTTTCTCTGTTGTTTGCTGTGGGAGTGCCTCTGGATTTAATTGTTATGCGTGCACGGGGGGGGGGGATTTGCCCCTTCCTTGTCCTACTTCATTTCGTTCTGAATTTTAAAGACACAAGAAAGTTATTTGGAAGATGGGAAGGGCTATAGCATCGCTTTGCAAGCAGAAGGTCCAGGTTCCTTAGGTAAGGATGGAAAAGACCATATCAAATCCTGCAGAGCTACTGCTAGTCTGGGTAGCTAAATAGACACATGGTTCTGTACAAAACCCAGTATTAAAAGTTTGATCAGGAGGCCTTGATCCTCTGCATGTTGTTCCCAAGTAAGCCCTGCTAAGTTCCGTGGAACTTATCCCACCTTATAATGCATGCAGCAGTTGGGGTAAGACACAGGCATACACACACAGATGCTCACACAATCTTGCATGCCACAAAGGGCAAGTGTCTCAAGCAAAACCAGCATTCTCTGACCTGGATGGTTTGCCTGTTGTACACTTTGACTACGTGAAAATTAAAGCCGTAGATCCCCTTTCGGGGAGCGATGAAAGTGCTCCGCTCAGAGTCAAAGTTCAGTCCGATATTCACTAGTACCTACAAGGGAAAGGCAGAGCAGAGTGAGAAATCAGGGAGAAAGATTGAAAACGCCAGAGGCTGGGTGGATCCCCCCCGGAAACGTGGCCATCTATCGCCGGCCCAGATTAAGTTTTTTTTCCTTTAAGGAGGTACGGAAGGAGGCACTCCAGAGTGAGAAACACAGCCGTCCCTCTCCCTAGAATCTGGACCGCGAACCACATCTGGAGACGCCACGCGGTCCCTCCTCGCCTGCGGATTTCTTACTAGAACATGGAGCCAGCCCAGCCAGTAACAGCTCTTGCCCCACCCCACGATCACGCGCCCCCCCCCCCACTAAAGTTTCCACGGGCAATTCGAAATCTCTTCGGGGAACATCTAAAGACGGTGACTTACAACCGTCTATACACCCGGGATTGATCTGCGGACCGCTCAGAGGGTATTTTCTTGGGCGGGGGGAATGGAAAGAGGGGCAATTGCTCCAAAGCCAGCGCCCCTTCCCTCTACCACACCCACTCATGCCCTCCACGCAGTCACCCCGAGAACACCCCCTTTCACGCTCCCTTATCAGCAAAAAGCAAAACCCTACCGACGCCCTCCGATGTCTCTCACCTGGTCGAAGTAAATGATCATGGTCCTGTTGCTCATCTCCGACGGCTCGTGGTTGGTGCTGCGGATGGCCGAAAAGGCCACCTTGGCGCTGCCCGAGCGCACCGAGATGCCCAGCGCCGTGCCCGTCGGGTCCGAGGCCGGGTTGGAGTCGCACACCACCAGGCACTTGCCCTCCAGGATGATGGGCTCCGTCTCGTTCTGCCCCATCGCCACCCCGGCCAGCCAAGCCAAGCCCAGCAGCTCCAGCGCCAGCATCGCGCCGCCGCGTCCCAGGCGGGTCCGCCTGCCGCTTCGTCTCGCCCGCCTCCTCCGATCCCCCAGCAGGGACAACGCTGCTAGGCGGCCAGCAGATCCAGTTTCCCCGAAGGGGCGGACGGACCGGCGGCTCCTTAGCCTGATCCTCCCTCCTCCTTCCTCTTCTTTTCCCCAGCCGCCTCGGGCTTCTCTCGAGCCTTCCCGAGAGCCCGGCTGCCCCCTAAGCCGGCCGCCTGTCTCTATTCCTCGCAAGCCCCTCGACGTGCTGGAAGAAGCAGCGGCGGCGGCGGCGGCGGCAGCTGCGGCATCGGCAGCCCCTGGCAAGGCTCAGGAGCGCTCGAATGCATAGCGCAAGGAGGGGAGGGGGAGAAGAAGGGCGCGCGCGCCGCAGCCCAGCCCCAGCGCCGCCCGCCTGCTCGCTCTCTTCCTCGCTCGCAGTGGCCAAGGCAAGCTCCCCGCCGCCGCCGCTGCCGTCGCCGAAGCACACAAAAGGCGCCGCCGCGCCGCGCTCCCACCCCACCAACCCGAGCCTGGCGTCAGCGCCGGCCACTCCCAGCGCCGGCGCCGCCCGCGGCCAATGGCAGGCGGGCGCGCTCGCCGCCAGCCAATGGGTGCCCGGTCCGTCTCTTTCAGCACCCCCTCTCCTCCCCGAAGGCGGAGGCTTTCGGGTGATTAGGTGGTCAGGAGCAGGTGGAGAGAAGGAGCGAGAGATGGCGAGCGCGGCGGATGGTGGTGGGGACGGACGGCGCCCGCGCTTGGGCAAAGTCTGGCGGGGAAAGAGGGGGGTCCGCTGCCTCTCGCTCAGGGGCCGCACAGGTAAGGAGAGCACGGAGGGAGCCGCGTGGACAGGGCATAGGGACCCAGGAAAGGGCGCCCTCCGTGTCCTTGCGCGCTTTTCGACGGGGCGGCGCTCCTGGCGCAGGGGCGCACGAACTCCGGGTGCTCTGGCAGAGAGAGAGGGGGTGAGGGTGGGGGGGAATGAGGTTTCTTGCAGCCTCTACGTGGGAGAGAACGACCGTGCCCCGTCGGAGAGGGTCTTTAGCAGGCGGGGAAGCTCCATCCTATGGGGTAGCTTCAGCTGGTCAGGCGCAGGAAGAGGAGGAATAGGTGGGGTCTCGGGTGGGCGTGGAAGTCCGTGGGATGACGGGGGCCAGGACAACACGTGCTCAGGGCCAGAGCTTTAGAAGTCCCGAGTACCGTGAAGGTGCTGGTGCCTCCCCCCCTTATATAATTTGAAATAAAACCGTGAAATAAAATACTATTTTTGTTAACCTACGTTAGTAGGACCCCCTCTGCTTCCAGTGGGGGCAAGGGAAAAGAACAGTAGGGGTGAAAGTGTGGAGTGGAGTGGAAGGAAGTCTAACAAAGTTCTGATTTTTCCCATGATGGATTGGATCCTTTAAAAAAAAAAAGTCAAATGTCAAACTCTTTTTCATCTTTAAAATCTCTTTTGGTGGCTTTGATTTACAGGTGCGTAGCCTGCCTATTGGGTAATCCAGCACTGCATGTGTTGGTGCTCAGGAGGAGGCTGGGTGCTTGGGAGGGCAAAAAGTGAGACAGACAGATGGCTGCAGTGATCTCCCTAAAAGGAGAGATCCTGCCCAGCATAAAGGCCAGGGGGTTGGCTAGGATTACCAGCCAGTGAGGTAAAAGAACACTGTACATGCTCAGAGGCCCTGTCTTAACTTTGCCTGTCCCAGGACTGCACCCTAGAGAGTGCTAAAGGGGAACTCTGATGTGTCCAGGCTCAAATGAAGTGCCACATCATAGATCTGAACAGGCCAATTTTCTTCATTGGTGGTTTTGAGGACCAGACAAGGTTGGGGTGGACATGTGTGACAGCAAGGAGGTGCAAGTATAGCGTGTAGGTTAGTCAGGGATGGGACAGGAAGCAAAGACGGAGAAATGGGTGGATATTGGGCTTTGTATGTCATTGACACAAGCTCTTGAAAGGCTCCTAGGAATCACATCAGTGTGTCATGTCATTGAAGGATATTACCCAAGTGCAGCGTGGGTAAGGAGGAAGTAGGGAAGAGCTCATTGAATGTGCTCTTTGGGCACATTTTAAGTAATTGAACAATGCTGGACTACAACTCCCATCATCCCTCACCATTGACCATGCTTGCTGCAGCTGATGGGAGTTGCACTCCAGCAGCATCCAGAGGGCCACAGGTTCCCTATCGTTGGTGTAGGGACTGGTTCATGCATGCAAGTATGCCACACCTGACATAAAATGATGAAGGGGTGCGTGCGTGTGTGAAATGGCCTTCAGCGCATGCAGTATAATGTGGGAGACAAATAGTTGCAAGTCCAGTTTTGTTGATATCTCAACACATAAACTGGGTGATGTATTGTGGGATTGGTTTCATCTTATGCAGTCAGCGGACATGGACAAAGTGCTGGTGGCTGTACACTCAACCACGTGGCCTCTTGTCCCTCTTGGCTTATTACTTCTAGTAGGGGTTTGACTGGTTGGGTCTAGACTGCATGGCCAAACTTGGCCCTCCAGCTGTTTTGGGGCTACAATTCCCATCATCCCTGACCACTGGTCCTGTTAGCTAGGAATGATGGGAGTTGTAGTCCCAAAACAGCTGGAGGGCCAATTTTGGCCATGCCTGGTCTAGAGTGTGGTTAACACTTCATTCTGTAACCTTGAAAGAGGTGGTCATGTGACCACTCCTAAAGAAACCAGCCCTGGACTCCTTGGACTGGAATAAGTACCAACCAGTTGCAAATAGAAGGTGATGGAGAGAGTTGTGGTGGGGCAGCTTCTAGCATTCTTGGATGGCATGGATTATTTAGATCCACTGAGTCACCCATGGTCACCCTGTCAGATTACCTTTGCAGAGAGCTGGGATAGGGGAATGTGACCTTGCTCTGCTTCTCTCTCTCTTGGCAACTTTTGATACCATTGACCATGATGCCCACCTGGACTAGCTCTGTGGAATGGGAATTGGGGTCACTGTGTTACAGCTGTTCCTGTCCTACCTATGGAGTCCAGAGAGTAGCACAGGAAAAGTGATTTTCAGCCCCCCAGTGGTTGCACTACGGGGTGCCAGGGCACTATTCTATGCCCATTGCTATTTATTATCTACATGAAACTGGGATCGGTTATTAAGCATTTTGGGGCAAGGTGCCATCATTACGCTGATGACACTCAACCCTATTTCTCCAAAATATCTGGATCAAGAGAGGCTGTGCAGGCCCTGGACTGGTGCCTAGATGCAGTGGTGGGATGGATGAGGGAAAATAAGCTGAGCTTGAATTCTGGCAAAATAGATGCACTGTGGGCAAGTAGGTCCCATGTCCAAGAAATAAGTCAATTGTCTGCACTGGATGGAGTTGCACAGTTTGTGTGGGCTTTTGGACCTGGCTCAGTAACCAGGGAACCATGTAGCCTTAGTGGCTAGGAGCCCCTTATACAAACTCCTGTTCCTGGACTTGGAGAGCTTGACCACAAGACTGGATTACTGCAGTGCAATTCATCTGGGGCTTCCCTTGTGCTTAATCCAGATTTCTGCAGCTAGTGAATAATGCCACAGCACAGCTTCTAGCTGGGGTAAGACCCTGTCAGTATATATGCTTCTGCTCAGAGATCTGCACAAGTTGTTCATTTGCTATCATACCAAGTTCAAAGTGTTGTGAATAGTATGTAAACAGCTTGGGACCAGTTCAATTGCAAGATTACTTGACTCTGTGTTTGCCCACCCAACTGCTTTGATCTGCAGAAGTGGCACTGTTACAGGTGGCACATAATACTCATTCTGCAGTTGTAATAAACTTATATTTTGGTGTGGCAGCACCTAAACTTTGGAACTCCCTACTTATTGACACCAGGCAGGCTCCTTTACATGCATATTAAGACATGTAGAAGTTATATGTTCAAGAAGGACACTGACAAACTGGAACGTGTCCAGAGGAGGGCAACCAAAATGGTCAAAGGCCTGGAAACGATGCCTTATGAGGAACGGCTAAGGGAGCTGGGCATGTTTAGCCTGGAGAAGAGGAGGTTAAGGGGTGATATGATAGCCATGTTCAAATATATAAAAGGATGTCATATAGAGGAGGGAGAAAGGTTGTTTTCTGCTGCTCCAGAGAAGCGGACACGGAGCAATGGATCCAAACTACAAGAAAGAAGATTCCACCTAAACATTAGGAAGAACTTCCTGACAGTAAGAGCTGTTCGACAGTGCAATTTGCTGCCAAGGAGTGTGGTGGAGTCTCCTTCTTTGGAGGTCTTTAAGCAGAGGCTTGACAACCATATGTCAGGAGTGCTCTGATGGTGTTTCCTGCTTGGCAGGGGGTTGGACTCGATGGCCCTTGTGGTCTATTCCAACTCTATGATTCTATGATACATGCATTTTAATTTTAATTACCTTGTCTTGAACTTTTTTTTTTGTAAACTGTTTAGAAGTTTTCTTACAACCAAGTGGTATATAAATTTTGTTTTTTTAAAAAAATGCAGCAATGACAATCTGCAGGACTAGTTCAGTTTATCACTTGATGTAATTGAGACATACCATTTATGCCCAGGTGTGTGTGTGACGAATTGTGGTCTAAATTTATGCCTACTGCAACGTTGTGGAAGTTCAGAAGACTTTCACTGGAAATCAGTTACCGTATTTTTCGCTCTATAAGACACACTTTTTCCCTCCTAAAAAGTAAGGGGAAATGTGTGTACATCTTATGCAGTGAATGCAGGCTATCCCAGAAGCCAGAACAGCAAGAGGGTGGCTGCGCAGCGATCCCTCTTGCTGTTCTGGCTTCTGGGATTCAGAATATTTTTTTTCTTGTTTTCCTCCTCCAAAAACTAGGTGCGTCTTATGGTCTGGTGCGTCTTATGGAGCAAAAAATACGGTACGTATTCCACAGCAGGAAGGATCTTTTGAGTTCTGCACACACACATGAACACACCTTTTCCCCCTTATCCATTTAATGTACAAAAATTACAGGTGTTGGTTTGGTAGGGTAAAATAAAATAAAATCCAAAAGCTATACAAGGGTGATACTTTATTGCCGTCCTGTAATAATTTTATTGGAACCAACTGATAAAAGTTGTAAAAACAGTGAGCAGGGTTTCAGGTTCCCCAGAATGCTTCTTCAATTTAAAAGTTAGAACCAAGCCACAATGACAAAAGGGGCGGAGAGATGAAAGGCTCAGCTTGGTGGAAAGTCCATAATCTGCAATTCATAACACTTTATAAATAAAACCTTTTTATTATTAAAAGAGATAACAATATAGATTGCAAAAATAAATAAATTATATATTAATAAACAGAATACATTTAGGTTTATTAAGTTTACGTTTTGCTTTCTGCTAAAGAGTCCAGAAGCAATATACAATACATTAATTCTCCAATACAGTGTCATCTTCTCATTATGCAGGCTTAATTAAGTTGAATCAAGCCGGGTGCAAAACAGACTCCAGGTTGCTGCAAGAGCTCCCGGGTCAAGGAAGCAACATCTGTACACTCTTTAAAAATATGA